TTCTCAGGCTGCGCCCGGGCGGTGCGGTCCGCCCTCATGGACGCACCGCCCGGGCAAAGCTGCGGCCGCCCGAGGCTCTTTACAGAGCTCTCGGGCGGCTGCAGCATGGGGGGGGGCGGCGGAGCTGGTCTGGCACCCCCCACCCGGCTGGCACCCGGGGCGGACCGCCCCCCCCCGCCCCCCCCTTAGTACGCCACTGGTTGGAGGTCCGTGAGGATGTCCAGCGTCAGATAACGGACCAAAAGTCAGTTTGGAATGCGGAAGCCCTCTAGCGACTGTCTGGTACACAGCCACTGAGGGCAGACTTAGAGCTGTAATGTAAACATTGCAGTTCTCTGTAACTGCAATGTTTAACATTGCATCACTAAGTGCAAAAGGGTCAGAGCATAAGAAAAATACAGACATTTATATATGACTGTAAGCGCGTTTGAGCAGGGTCCTCATCTACCTATTTACCTGTAGCATTTTTTAATTGTATCATTTATTGTAAAATTTACCCCCTTTCATAATATTGTAAAGTGCTGCGGAATACGTTGGCGCTATATAAATGCCAATAATAGCCCGTTGTCATCATAAAGGAACCGCTAGACAACAAAATGCCCCAACATAAACGGATTGACTGGTACTGATGCACAAGGTATCAATGCCCAATCCTTAGGAATGTTGGGCCGATGATTCCAGGCAATGCAGTATGTAAAACAGAGTATGAGTTAATAGGTATCTTCATCAGGTATAACATGATGCATGCAATCACTGAGTATGACATTTTGTGCACTGTTCAACATCCGCAGAGTATATTGGAAAATGTCTTTTGTTCCTGTTGTCCCACTGATTGCAGTGTAAACACCCTCTTTGCTGTATCCAACTAACTACCTTTGACTCAAAAATTGTCAAATTGAAAATAAACACCAATAGTAATAATAATAATATGACTATGTTTAAAGATTTTTTTCTTCTTCTTTAGGAGTTACCAAAGCAGTCTGTTGAGGAGATAAAACCTGATATCCAAGGCTCCTAGACAGCTTCATCCAGTGTTTTGGTTTCTCACGTCCCTGTACGGTCAGGGAAATCAATAACAAGAACTGGCCTAAAAAACCTGGGAAACACGTGTTACATGAACAGCGTTTTACAATCGTTGTTCATGGCGACAAGTTCTCCTTTCGAGTTTATATGTTTGTGTGAGAATCCGACTAATCTGTGATTAAATTAGATTCAATCTGTGATTAAAAAAAGAAAAAAAGAGCCAGAAAAATCGAGAGGGTACATTTGTAACAATGGTAACCCCGAGGAGAAATGTAATAGAACAAAGAAAGAGTGTACCTCTGGGGGAACTAGGAAAATGGTATCGTGTATATATGGTAGAATATCACTTCAAGGGTAGCCAGTCTCCTTCCAGACTAAATGCTAAACTATAATCTCAAAATACTAAAAAGAATAATTAAATAAATGCTATTGAATCAATATACTAAAAACTCACAATAAACTCAAAGTGCTGGCACTGAAAAGTGCTCTAAGTGACCATGTACATAAATAGGAGCTATGTCTGCAAGTGTATAGGAGAAATAGTATTATAAATTCTGTGGTAACCCCCAGTGTATATCAAAGTGTGGTTAGCACTTCAATAAGACTAATAAACACCAGGTGGCACTATGCCAAGAAAGTCCAAAGTAGTTCTATCCAAAACTTGCTGGGGAGTAATAGTGTGTACCGTAATCATAGAGCATAATCTGGTATCAGCCATACACATCTGTATGCTGATATTATATGCAGATTACTGGCAAAATACCTAACCGGAATGCTGAAGATATCCTAGAGTACTCAGTACTACACGGGTAAGGCTTATATTTGAAATCAAGTTAATATCGTTGTGGTACCAAATTAAGCGTAAGCCCACAGACATATTGCAGTATTCCAGGGGAATTTATACTGCTGAGGTAGCGCTCATAGCAATAGAGAATTAGTGTAGGTATCCCATTTGTAGCTAGATTAGCTCTGAGACTGTGTGGTAATAGGAGTGACAATGTGATGCGATAAATGAACCCTTCATGGGCACAAAACTAACCACCTTGCTGAGGAAAAGGACTAGCCGGTCGGTGTTAAATAAACTGCCTGTCAATACATGACACATACATCTACAATATGCTCAATATAAGAGAAAGAATCGCTAGCCGAGGGAGACGATACACTAAATAGTCTGTAACGGTCAGAAAACATTCGTAGCGAGTAGCAATTTCAAGTAGTATCTAGATAACCCCACCCCGCACATTCGAGTGGACCTGTCTCTACTCCCCATAAATTAGTACAACTATTACTAATATCTAAGAAACATAATAGCAAAGTGAAACAAGTGAACTACAAGATATAAAGTAACGCCACCGATGTAAGGATTACTGCATGTCAAGTGGCTGTCTAGCACGATAGAAAGACAGCATGACCAAGACCCCTGATGTGCGTGTTTCGTGATTGTGCAGTATTGCAATGGTGGGGATACAGCTTGTGATGTGTAGAGAGACTGCATGTGTTTTTTATGTGTGGGGATGCATGCATACAGTGAGACACTTTATGGGTTTGCGATGTATGTGAGTGGAGAGGGCTGGTTGTGTTTCAGTGTGTATGGGACAGAGGTTGTAGTAGACATCTAGGGGATACTGGGGCTGTAGTGTGAGTGTGTGTTTGTTTGTTTGTATGTATGTATAATAAAAGTTCTATTGTGTGTGGGGGGGGGGGGATATAGAGCCTGCAGTATGTGTGTGTAAGTAAGATAGCTGCAGTGTGTGCATGCAAGGATCAAGGCTATAGTAAGTGCAGGAGGCATAGGGGTTGTAGTCGGTGCCGGGAGGGATAGAGGCTGAAGTGGATGCTGAAAGAAATAGAGGCTCTGGTGTTCACAGGGGGCTATAAGCGCTGGAATGGGGGAAGGGAGCATAGGAACTGTGGTGGGAGCAGGGGGGCTGAGGTGGGTACAGGGAGGGATAGAGCCCTAGGTGGGTGAAGGGAGGGGAAGGGCAGTAGACGATATTTACAAGGAGCGTACTGGTACTATTTCTGTCAGACTGCTAAACCTTATCTTCAAAGTACTCACAGGCCAGGAGCTCTCTGCAGATGCTGCAAGAGAGGAGGACAGCCAGGAAGTGACATACTGGAGGCTTATACTACGGTTTCTGGCTCTTTAATGCCCAAAGAAAAGAGTTTGTACTTTTAAACTGGCACTTCGGATACAGTCAAAGTCGAAGCGGCCATTTTAACTCATTCGACCGCTGACCCATATGTTCTACTCTACTTCGACACTGCGGCTGGAGACTAAGTCCCGTTCAAAGATTCGAACGCTCGTCATTTTCTCAGGGTAAAATAGACCGACCGCACAGCCCAAATCCATGGAAATGTTTTGGGCATGAAAATGTGCCTGCGGTCGGTCAAAAGTGACTTATTTCTATCTCCTGAATGGCTGAACGGATTCGAATGATTTTTGGATATGTTTGTATTTGGAATGTGTTATGAAAGTTGGGTAAAAAGTATGTTTTAAACTGTATGGATAATTGGGTTACCTCTCAGGCTAAGGGGAGGAGATGTGTGGGATGTAACCATTGTGCGATTGGCTAATGTATAATTGTCTGTGGGCGTCTGTCTTGCATGAGAGAACTGCATAAAAGCAGAGTGTGTGTCAGTAAACAAGAGTTCTTCTTCACCCTCAATCTAGAGTACTGTCTCTTATTGGGGGAATTGCTATATCACTACAAGGGATTGATATGCTCTGCATGCTCCCTTGGATAATCACTTCTAAGCTCTTGTAAGATCTTGTTCCTGCTTCACTCTCTTGGAGGAGAGGTTCACCCACTGGAATCTGGAGCCTTGTCGTAGGTCCAGGGTGGGTAGGAGACGGTGAGACCCCGACCAAGCTGCGGCGGTCCGTGGTGTCTGCGGTGGTTGTGGTGTCTGCGGAGCGCTTGGATCCCTCTGTAAGCGCTAGGAGCATCCTTCAATGGAGGTACCCAGTCGGGGTACTAGGTGATCCATTACAATGATCTCTCTCCGATGCAATGTATCGAGCAAAATGACACTGAGGGGCATTTTGTACATATGGCAGACCATGAGTCCTTTAGTCAGCTGGCTACAAAAACCTACTGACTGTTTAAAGTCAGATTATAGTAACCAGAACAACTATAGCTCAATGTAATTGTTCTGGTGAGTATAGACAGTCCCTGCAGACATTTTCATGCAAACACTGTTTTTTCAGAGAAAAGGCAGTGATTACATTAAAGCCTAGGGACACCTCCATTGGTCACTCCTCAGATGGCCACTGGATTGGCTGAGATAAGCAATACTGAATCGGGGCAGTGCCAGCATAGGCAGAACTGGAAATAAGGTATGTTTTTACACTTTCTAAGGGGGCAGGAGCACGGCACCTAAATGGTGATTTTAACACTATAGGGTCAGGAATACATGTTTGTGTTCCTGACCCTATAATGGTCCTTTAATTTAAATTGAAGGAGATTATACAACAGGAGCATACAAGATACAAGATCCAGCGCACTCGCTCATCCACTAAACAGCAATTTCAAGTTTCACAAAATGTAATAGTTTTATTTAAAAATACCTCCCCTAGGCAAAAAATAATGGTGGTTTAGTTACAGTATATGATCATACCTCGCATAAGCCTGCCACAACATCAATGTACCCCATTCTTGGTAGGTCCTACTCTAGCATTATACAACTCTATACAACAGGAGCACACTGACCTATGTGTGAGGGTTAATATATCAATCAAACTGTTAATTTGTATACTTCTATGAAAACATACAATTTTTACCCTTTGTTTAATCGGGAATCCTTTAGTGCACAGTCTATAAATCATGGTCTGATTTTCAGCTTTACGAGACGAGTGTTATCCATGAATTTGAAAGGATTCGATTCGCTGATGAAGAAATTGCAACGTCTTTTCAAGATCTTGGCTTATTCTCAGGTATGTTTTTGTTAATGGAAAAACAATGGGGGCAAATGGCACATACAACAATTATCTGTCCATGTAACAGAGGAAAACAACAGAACACAAAATGGAACTTTCCTTTTACACAAAATAAGATATAATACAGACACTAATTAATATGCACAATTAGTTTTAGAAAACAATATGAAAAACATATTACATGTGGTAAGATTTATCAAGGTGCAAGACGTAGTCACCATTGTCACTAATGGAATCAGTAGGCACATCCCACTGGTGATTGATCCCTTTTACCGTTTTGCTCATTTCACGTCACAGCATTTTAAACAGCTCTTCCACTGAGTCAATAGAGTTGCCTACCAAACAAGAAAAATGCAGATTTGTCTTTATATGTTAATATCCATTTCCCAACCCCACTAAAAGTAACATTGTCATTTTCCCTCTTCTCTAATCAGCGAGAAGCATATTCTCCATTGAAATTTTTCAATGCGTCTCGTCCACCGTGGTTTAGTTCTTTCTCCCAGGAAGACAGTTCCGAATATCTTCGATTCCTTTTAAACAGGTATTTAAAAAATTCTTATATCCTGATTATTTACTTAGTACTAAATGTAGAATTGTATACTGTAATGTTAAACATGGTATTACTTTATAAAAGGATCAGTTTCTCTAGAGTAGCAAACCTGCTAATGTCCTGAAAAGTGGGCAAGTAAGAGAGTAGGTTACACAGGGCACTGTACCTTTAAAAGGGCTGTCTGAGTGCTTGTTTCCTCAAAGCAGACCATGCAATACAACCCCACAGTACAGCCTCTATTGCCCCCATACACACTTCAACCCCTATTTACCCCCTCCCATACATGGCAATTCCAAATAAGGATACCAAATTAGGGAGCCATCTATTTATATCTACTGCTATTATCTTCCTTTTAATTTTAGCTATAGAGATGAAGGCTGCTGTCCATCCATTCACAGACATAGCATCTGGTCCTTGTACAGAAATAGGTTGCTGACCCATGTTATAATGCCTCCAACTCAAGCTTTGCCTAAGGCCTCTGAAAGTATAGATTCACCTCTGACTACAATAACAATAATAATAAGTTACGTAATCATTTTAGTTTTGTGTGGGGATTGGGGCAGCTCAGAAACCTCTCAACACAAGAGACTTGGGGGGGTGGGGGGGTTGGGGGAGGGGATGCCCCCTGCCTCCCTCTCCAGCCCTCCTCTGTAAGCCAATAGTAATAAAATACCCTCTGGTTAGAACTGCATCAACTAAATGAAATATACATTATTTTAAAGCCAATTCGTTTTTTATGGTTATTGTTAGGTATGATTCATATTAAATATATGTATTTTTAAAAAACTTTTTATGTTAGCTTGCACGAGGAAGAGAGATTAAAGCTTCTATCTTCAGAGACTACCGCCGATGCTCTGTCTACAAAAGTTCCACCTAAGGAGGCATCACAAAGCACAAGCTGCGGGAAAGATAAAAAAACTGTGATACAACACATGTTTGAGGGAAAGCTCAAAACGAAAATCTTCTGCCAAACATGTAAAATAATTTCCCAGAAGACAGAAGCTTTTACAGACCTTTCACTGGGATTTCCAACATCATCCAGTGAAACTGGCAAAAAAGAACAACAGGAAAAGCTTTCAGTCAACGACATGTTCAGCCATTTCCTAGCACCAGAAATTCTTGATGGAGACAACTGCTATCAGTGTGGAAACTGTGCTTCCCTCCAGAAAGCAGAGAAGACCGTGCAAATTACAGAGGAGCCAGAATACCTAATTTTAAATTTGCTGAGGTTTTCCTATGATCTAGAGCACCACGTGAAGCACAAAATATTAAATCCAGTGTCTATTCCACCAGTACTGAGGCTGCCCGTGGAAAGATCTACCTCTCTGGACACTGATATTTCTGGTGCTGGTGAGAATAAAGGTATTGAGCTGACATCAGTTGCGATAGACGATCGGCACTGTACCCAACGACGAGTGCCTTATGTTTTAAATTCTGTTGTGGTGCATTCAGGAGCAACATCTGAAAGCGGCCATTATTATTGCTACGCCAGGGACATAAGTTTAAGGTCTGTAAAGCAGGTGAAGAGTTCCTCCAAATCTGTCTAGAAGTGAATCCTCGTGGAATCCCAAAGAATGGCTTCGCTTAAATGACAGCAGCGTTAACGTATCATCCCAACGCTATGTATTAAACACCAGCCTGCGGTCTCCAGAGGACTTAGTTTATAAAAATCTGAGCAGTGGGAAACAGAAGCCATCGAAATGCGTGAAGTCTGGTTAAACTGGATTTTTTCAATCCAAAAGCTTAGGAATGTCACCATTAAAAATAACAAACATTATTCAAAGATGTTAAATAAAGCATAACATTTATTTGTAACAATCCGGAGTTGTAATTTGTCTATAATAATAGAAATATTTTTACCTAGAAAAACACACATTTAAATGTGAAAAAATTTATTATTTCTGTTTTTAATTCTTTATTTTGACGTGCACATAAAATACAAAGAAGCAAGCTGTCAACATTGTACAATTGTCTGGCATATCAAACAAACACAAAGATAAAGTACCGCGCTTACAGCAGCAGTGGCTTAGTATCTAACAGCTCAAAATACATAGTAAAGACAAAGAGAACATTACCTGTGCTCTGGCCCAAATCCCTATGTGCATTTAAACAAAATGGAGGCTCTTTAGTTTTATTCCAATGGCCATTTGAATATAAGCTCACTTGCCACGTCAAGACAAGCCTCAAAAGGTGAGTCCTACTCTAGCCATTAGACTTGCTGATATCAGCCAATAATCTCCAATGAGACAGGAAGGGGTATTTTACAAACCCTTTCACATGTAACCCTTTATAAGGTTTCTACACATACAAGACTTTGCTGGTATCAAGGGTTACATGTGCCATGTAGTGCGTGATATAGATATAGATATATATGTATATGTATATTTATTTTTTAAAGTTCCTTGCACTCAATGAAGTGAAAGGGTGCTTCAAACGAAGGGTAGGTTATGTAGAAAATATGAAGAAAGGTGAGCACTCACAGTCTTTAGAAGAATTGAAAACTTGTACGTTTTGAAGATGCATGAAAAAGAGATTGACTTTTCAGTCCACGTACTGGACTTTCCTCAGGATCAAGAACAATGACATTTCTTCTTTTTTTTTTTATAAAGGCCCAATAGCCACCTATATACACGGTGGTCCTGGTAATCTTGCTGCACCCTCTCGTACTTTTGTTTCTTAAACCTTACCAGTTAATTTTTATATTTCAAAAAGTTCCACTTGTAATTGCTGTTGTAATTTTAATCCATCACTGGAAGCAAGCAACACGGCTTGTTCAGTCTCTAGTGCAACTATTTTCTGTTTGACTTCAGCTAGGTCAGATTTATCATCTTTAATAGTGATGAGCATCAGATCTAAAGAGGCTTTATTTAAGACATGTGTCCAATCATGACAAACAGTGGGCTTGAGCCTCCCAATGGTTGGTACATTTAGTAATCTAAAACCACGCGGAATCATCCTGGCTTTATAGTAGTCAGATAGAAATAAGCCATGCAGATCCAAATCCACACTCTTCTTATGCAATCGTAACACCTTAAAATAAATATCCTTAGTTGTAACTTGATTAGGCAGTTGCTGACTAGTTTGTTCCCATAGAATATTAATAGCTTCCTCCAATGAAAATTGTAAAGTTTCAGCATGTTCAGTATAAGCACCTGCTTGTACTAAAAATTCATCCATGTCCAAGCAATAACAGGTTAGTATAAGTAAACTACCAAATATGCAAAAGATTAATATGCTTGCTATACTTTAAGTGCAAGTACTTGCACAATTAGCTGGTGCAAAAAAGGGAAGGAGGTAGAGCCCAACTCTCCCAATAATACAAAAAAACTAAAAAAAAACCTTGCACTCACGCTTGGTTAATTCCAACGCCGGGTATATGCGCCAGAGCTCCAATAGACACAAATATCAAAAAAAGAATGGCTGCTCACCGGACTTAAAAACAAAACATTTTTTATTGAATAATGTTAAAAAAAATTTTTTAAAAATCGACCAGCGTTTCAGTCCCCATTCGGGACTTTCTTCAGGGTCTAAATAACAGAACAACATCTATTATGCATACAGGCAAACACTAATTTAGTATAATATTAACATCACTAAGTATCCCCCTTGTCCTTTTAAGTCTGATGTACATTGGAGGGGGCTTTGTTTATATGGTCACCATTGTGATTGGGAGCAATATGCATCCACCACGCCAAGACGTACAGTCGTCAGCACGGTGGGCGGGGCACACAAGTGTGTGCGCGCCACATCCGGAAGCCGCAATGGTCCCGATGGATGGCGGGTGAGAAACACCTGGGTGAGTTTCTTTACTAATTATATCACTATATAATGTTTGCCTGTGTGCATAATAGATGTTGTCCTGTTATTTAGACCCTGAAGAAAGTCCCGAATGGGGACTGAAACGTTGGTCGATTTTTAACATTATTCAATAAAAAATGTTTGTTTTTAAGTCCGGTGAGCAGCCATTCTTTTTTGATATTTATATATTATGTGTATGTATATTATTTGTATGTTTCTTTTTCTAATTTTAAATAGTCCTTTCAGGGTAAAAGAAATTAAATTATAGGTAAGCATACTCACATGCAGACACAGACAATCTCACTGACAAGCACACAAGCTCATTTATACACATACGTTCACTGACATAAAAACACAAGCTCATTGACACACATAAGTTCAATGACATAAAAACACAAGCTCATTGACACACAGAGACAAGTTTACTGGGGTACACACACACAATAACTTTGTACAAACAAACTCTGGCACACACAATGTTACTACAGTCAAATAGACTTGTATATACACAAAAGGTTACTACAGACAAGCTCATTGGCATACAAAGCTTACTACAGAAAAGCTTACTGTCCAACACACACATGATCACTACATACAAGCTCTTGGGCACACATGACCAGTACATACAACCTCACTGGCACACACATGCTCACTACAGAGAAGCTCACTGGCACACACACATACTCACTACAGTCAAGCTCACTGACACATGTCTGCTAACTGACACACACATACAGGCTCACTCACTACCAGGCACATACACACAAAAAAAATCACTGTCATGGGCTGAAGCCTACCTGGCACCAGTGTTAAATTTTGTCGACTAACAATTTTAGTTAACTAAACTTTGTGAAATTTAGTCGAATAAAACTAGACTAAAACTAAAACAATTCAGATTACTAAAATACATCTAAAGACTATGACAAACTAAATTGAAGTTTGCAATTTTCTGGCCTCTTCCTGCTGACAAGGTCAACAGCTTGAGTGTAGGGGCGGGGCTTGTATGTGGGAGGCAGGGCTTGAGTGCAGGGCGGAGCATTAGAGGCACTTAATTGCTGGGAATTGAGAAGATAAATTCACAGTGCTCCCTCCGGCCGCCAGCAGCCTAAATGCAGCTGAACCCACCCCCACCACCTCCCTCCTTAATTCCTGTCACAGTCCAAATAGTTTAAATTGCATTAGCCTAATGGTTAGGGCTGTCTGTCCAAACCCAGGTGCCACGGCCCACTGGTTGGCTAGTCCTGCCCTGGGTAAATGTGTTAGTGTAAGCATAGGATTAGGAGTAGGGTTGGTATAGATTTTGGGGGATTGAGGGGGGGGAGTGGTGATGATATAGGGTTAGAGTTAAAGGGACACTGTAGTCACTATAACCATTTCATCTCTTTGAATTGGTTATAGTGCCTGGAGTGCCCTGGCACTGTCCCTCCACTCAGTGTTGCACCATGTTCATGCAGTATGCCACAACATAAGAGTCTCTGGCCACCTACAGTCCAGCCCCTTTTGTATGTGTAGCTAAGGCAGAGATTACACACTTTCTTGTTGTCATACCCATTCATACCATCAGTTGGAGCTTGACAGGCTGAAAGCAGTCACCTGACACTCTCAGCCAATCACAGCTGTCCATTGCTGCTCAGGCTAATACTTCCTTATTAGCCAAAGCTGCACAGATGGGATGGACTGCCGGGGACTCTTGTTTAGCATTAAAACATTAAAAACTGTTTAATGCTGAAAGAAATTATGGTACCAGGGGACTCCAGACACTACAACCAGTTTAATGAGATGAAGCAGATACAGTGCCAACGGTGTCCCTTTAACTATGAAAAATGTATTTAGATCCTAGACACGTAAGTCATTTACCAATAAGGACTTATATGTGAATCTATTTTGAGTTCTTATTTAGTAACACTAGAAGTGTAAACATTTTTGTATTTTGTCCGATCTTTAACATTTTATTCACATAAAGATATAAGATATTATATATTATTTACTTAAAGAGAAACCCTTAAATTACAGTGGAACAAACACATAGCACACATTCTATAGTTTTGAATGTATTTATTTATTATCAGAACAATTGCCTTGGTCCATGAGGGGTTAAGATAGTCACACTTGTCTGCACCCTACACATGCCTTAATTTGTTTTGTTTAATGAATTGTTTTCGTTGTTGCATCCCTTTTATCCAATTCTGTACTCTAATTCCAGTTGTGGCTCTCCCATGTAGAGTATATAAACTTTTAACTGGTGCATCCTTGTTTGATACAAAAGTCTGATTTCTAGCAATTAAAACTCAGGGTTTAGATATTCCTACTCGCCCACTGCCAGAAGTACAAATGTAGAACACATCTTCAAACACGTACTTAAAATTCTGTATACATTTGCTAGATATATGGGTAAGCCTGATTCTTCTTAAAGTACTAACATTTAATCTGAGTTTAATAGGTTACTATACATTTCTATGAAAAAAGGATAATTGTGAATAAATGCCATCAAAAATCCCCCCAAAATACCAAACAATACATATGTATGACTCCTGTTGTCTGAGAAATAGGTTCAAGCAGCCATATAGGATACCAACAGCTATGTGTGGATGTGGTATATTCAAAGATACTGCACACAGAGCATCATTTGATATATTAAAACATACTGCACACAGACCGCTCTCTTGGCACTGAATCCTGCTACTCAAGTGGACTTCTGCACTCCCCCTCACACCCCTTTGGACCATCAGGGGTCATCCCTGCACTCAGCTAAGTCTACAACAAACCCTCTCACCGCGGCAGAGGCTAGGGAGATGGGAGAACGCAGCTCCCCCGAAACCTGACTGCGACCCACAAGTATAGTGCTGAGGAGCAAGGCGAGGACACAAGGCTATGGGAATCTGCATTCCAAGGCACCCACAACGGGTGACTCTTACTGTGGGAAGACTCAATGGCAGTCCAACACAGGGCTACAGTCAATGCCTCCACAGCATTCATACCCACCTGCTAGAAGCCTACCTTGTCTGCCTGAAGGGTGTGAGGAAAGAGACACTGGTACGGGGATGGACTCTCTATCATGGCCAGCCAGTGGTGTGGGCTGAATAAGGCTTAACTAAACTGTGATTTCTGCTTTATGTTTACATGGCTTCCTTCTCTTGCAATATATCTCTAACCAGTGTGGTACTACGCCTATTTGCTAGTCTGCTATGCAGCAACACTATATAGTTAATACCCTATTGTCTGGCTGGTCTTTTAGAGGTATAGGCTAAACCTTTTAAAATGTGCCATACATGCCTAGCCCAATTTTGTGGTTTAGCTCACAGTTAAATGAAAATTACAGTAACGGCGGTATATTAACGCATCCTTGCCTAGCAATTGGGTTATACTCAGCTCGCTGTTTCTATAATCAATGTTCAAGTATTATAACACATATCTGAATACTCATGCCCTAAGTAAAAAATATGTACTGTCAGTTCAGCTTATTCAGCCCATCACTCTTGATCTCTCTGTCCTGACACATCTATGCTGACCATGTTTACAGTCTTAACTATATCATCTTGTTTCACTACATGCTCATATTTATTTATAAAATATTTTACCAGGAAAGATACATTGAGACCTCTCTCATTTTCAAGTATGTCCTGGGTCATATTGCTCGACTGTTAACTGTTAATATATATAAAATGTGCCAATGTTTAGAATGCCACACTAATGATTTTGAATTCTGTGTCATGATTATGCCTGTCGATGCTGTTATATGTGCAAAACAAAAATTAAAAATAAATAAATATTAACCCCTTAAGGACAGAGCTTCAAAAGCTTGTCTTTCACTTAATGACAACAGCATTTTTTTCATTTTTTGCTGCTTGCGTACAACTGCAATTTGCATTTTACTAATTTGTTGCACTAACACATATTATACATCGTTTTTTAAAGGACAGAAAGGGCTTTAATTTGATGTAACACACACATATATATAAATGCTTATTTATTATAAAAAAAATACAGAAAAATGTAAAAATGAAAAATTTGTGGGTTTTTTTTTTTACATTTTTTGCAATAATAAGGTGTGCATAATTAGTGCAGGTTAAGAAAAGTACAAGGAGTAAAATAGACTTTTAATGTGGAGCAATCTTAGAATTTGGTATGTTTGTCTTGTAAGCTTAAGAAAACAAAATTGCCACACAAAAGTATATATTTATATAAAGTAGACATCACGGGCTATTTACCTAAGGTTGTTTTGACACTTTCTACGTAGCCATTTCACCGCCAACCTCTGCTAAATATTGGAGTAAAATTGTGTTTTTTTGGTTTTTGGCACACAAACTTATAACAAAGAAATTCTCATGTATATTTTGTAAAGTTGGTGTGTGCTATTCCTGTACAAAGTTTTATTTTGTGTTCAGTTACATCTGCTGAGTAAAATGACACCCCCATTGTATGTCTTTGGCACTATTTCGTGAAGTTACAGTGCCATATTGGAGACCTATCCTTTTCAGTATTCACAGTAAAATTTTGAGAGATGGATTTAATGAGCCTTAGCTTCCATTTGGGGTATTATAACAGTTTGACTGTTCAAAAACCCCCCACAAAGGCCTACCATTTGTAAAAGTAGACACTCCAGGGTATCTCATAAGGTGCATATTGTGCCTTAACATGCCCCCATTTTTTCACAAATATATGCCAAAGTATATGGTAAAAAATAATTTTGTGCATTTTTTTTTACATACGGATTGCATTTTTGCTGGGTGTTTTGTATATTTCATATGTGCCACTAAGTTCAAACCTCCCAAATTATGCTCAGCTAAGTCTTCTGAGTAAAAAGACACCCCCAATGAATGTCTTTGGCACTATATTTCGTAAAGCTACAGTGCCATATCCGTTTTTAACTGAACTTTGAATTTTGACGCTGGGCCTATGTGCAATTTCCAAGCATCTTCGCAGGTTTTAAATTCAAACTACCCCACAAAGGCCTACCATTTCTTAAAGTAGACACCCCAGGGTGTTTCAAAAAGGTATATTTTGAACCTTAGCGTGGGATCATTTTTCCGCTAGCTTGTACCAAGTAATACTTCATATGTTGCTCAGCTATGTCGGCTGAGTACAGCAATACCCCTTTATGTACCTTTGTGAGGTATGTGTGGACATCAGAGGGGCACATTTGGGACACAGCCATTCCAGTTTTTTTCAAACTTTGAATTTTTACGCTGTGCCTATGTCCCATTTTAGAGTATTTTACCAGGCTATATAATCCAAATACCCCATAAAGCCATACCATTTCTTAAAGAAGACATCCCAGGGTATTTCAAAAGGCATATTTTGAACCTTAGCGTGGGATCATTTTTCCGCTAGCTTGTACCAAGTGTAGTGGTAATAAGCATTTTTCTGCCTTTTTGACATACAAAGTGAGTTTGCGCAGTATATTTTGCAAACCTTATGTGTGCTACGACTGTATAATACTTCATATGTTGCTCAGCTATGTCGGCTGAGTACAGCAATACCCCGGTATGTACCTTTGCCCGGTATATGTAGATGTTGAAGGGGCGCATTTGAGACGCAGCCAGTTTTTTTCTAACTTTGACGTTTTACGCTGTGTCCATGTTCCAATTTGGAGTAGTTTAGACGGTTGGTTATTGAAACTTCCCCACAAACACATACTATTTATTAAAGAATACACCCTGGGGTAATTCAAAAGGCATATTTTGAACCTTGGCGTGGGATAATGTTTTCTCTAGTTTGTTCCAGGTGTAGTGGTAAAGAGCGTTTTTAAAATGTATTTTTTTACTTTTTTTAAAACTTTACTTTTAAAAACTAGTTTTTAAACTTTTGTTTTGCTTATTAATTTTTTTAAACTTTCCTCAACTTTCTTAAAACTTTTTTACAGATTTAACATTTTTCTAAGCTTTTTTTTTTTTTACCGTTAACCCCTAACTAGCAGTAAGCAGCACTAACAGTAAATTCCCCATTTTCCCCATACCTCCCACCCCAGCTAGCAAAATATATAGTTAAATATTTAAATTAATTAAATAAATTGAACCCCTGAGGGTTAAAAAATAAATAAATTTAATCCTCAAGGGTTAAAAAAAATTAGATCACAGTATAATACTGTGATCTGTATTTGATCGCTGTAGGCAGTGATCGACTGGCAGGAAGGGACTAGGTATTTGGACTAGGTAAAGGGGGGTGTTTTTTTTTGTTTTTTTTTACTTAAACGTTATTAAAACTTTTTTAAGCTTAATTTTTAACTTTTTAAAGTTTATTTTAAAACTTTAACGTTAACCCCTAGTTAGCTTAACGCCAAATCCCCCAATTCCCCACTAACTTCCACCCACCCCAGATAGCTAAATATATAATTTTAAAATATTTTAATTAATTAAATAAATTTAACCCCTGATGGTTAATTCTTTTTTTTTTTTAACCCTCGGGGGTTAAATTTATTTAAAAAAAAAACAAAACAAAAAAGATCATAGTAAAATGTAATCCCTGCCAATTGATCACTGTAGTCTGTGATCAATTGGCAGGGAAGGGGTTAATTTATTAAAATGGGTAAAGGGGGGGTGGGACTTTAAATAAACTTAATTTTTTTTCCTACAGGGGGCAGGATCAGCACTGTTCCAGCTCCCTGCACTTCACAGAGAACCAGGAAGTGCAGGGAGCCGGAAGGTAAGTATACAGAGCACATGTGCTCGCTCTGACTTGCGGCCAGAGCGAGCACATGTGCTGGGCAGCCTGACTGGGTGCTCCCGGTATGCATCTAATGCAGAGGCATACCGGAGCACCATTAACCCCGCGATAGCGGCGATCCGGGGTTAATTTTACCGCGTGACCGTCCTTAAGGGGTTAAAAGATACTGCACACAGAGCATCATATGATATATTAAAATATACTGCACACAGAGCATCATGACATTAAAATATACTGTTCAGAAGGAAGTGTGTAAATTCTGCCATAGCATCTAGTGAGTGCCGGGCTGTGGGTGGCCAGAGACCCATATTCAGTATTAAGCGGCTCAAGAACTTAACATTGAAAAAAGGGACAATGTCAGAGGACACCAGACATTAACCAATTCAAAGAGATAAAATAGCTATAGTGCCTAACGTGTTCCTTTAATGTATACGGATGTGAGCAAACAGCGTTCAGGGTTCTTAGACAACAGCAGGTTAACTTTTATAATCTATAACCTTATAATCTTCCTGCGCATGTGTGCCCATTCCCCAAATACAAATCTCTGGCTGGGCTCTGTTATGTGCAACTTCTGATTCTTCCCATAATTATCACCTTTTATATGAATCACATTATTATTGCCATTCCTAATATGCGAAAGTCATCCCATTACAATGTCTAATATTTACATCTGCTTGTGTCTTAACACGGCCTTTAACTCCTTAAGGACCAAACTTCTGGAATAAAAGGAAATCATGACATGTCACACATGTCATGTGTCCTTAAGGGGTTAAAGTGGTAAAAAAAGAAAAAAGTACCTTAAGTATTTGTTACAGCTTCTTGAACAGATATTGAGAATGTCTCTAAACAGAAACATATAAAAACGTTATAAAGTAAGTTTAGCTGGCAAGATTTTTTT